GTTTCGTTATATCTATTCAAAAAACCCACCTCTTATATATATATATATATATATATATATATATATATATATATATATATATATATATATATATATATATATATATGCGAACGAACACACAAACACGTGGAGGCACTGAGATAAACAATGAAAAAAGAAGAAAAACTCAATCTTGTACCAAAGGAAAGTGAATAAATGGTTTTTAGCTCAATATAACAAAAACAAAAAACAGTCAATTGATTGCATCCCCTTACGAGTAGATGGAGCGATTGCTGAAGGTGCGTCTGCAAAACTCTAGAGGGAGATGCTGAAAAAATAATAGCAGCCGGATATGTTTATAGTTGTTTTAATCATCTATCTATATATATATATATCTATATATATATATATATATATATATATATATATATATATATATATATATATATATATACACACACATATATATATATACATATATACACACTCACACACACATATATATATATATACATATGTATATATATATATATATATATATATATATATATATATATATATATATATATATATATATTATCGTAATTACAAGAATCAACTTGACACCTTTCGCATGCGCTGTTTTCGTTCCATATATGATATAAAATCGGATGACAGGGTCAAAAATAGTGCAATACTGAAGAAATGTAACAACATCACAGCCATTGAAACCATTCTAGGTAAGCCGGTGATGTGAGAATTGTTGAGCATAGGCTTTTAAGAAAGGTACTATGGAGAAGTACCAAACTCCCAACGTTCAGTTGGGCGTCCACTCTTAAGCTACAAAGAAAAATTGAAAGACAACGTAAAAAGTCTCAACTTTGATCCTTAAACAAGGGAATGCCAAGTACAAAACTGAAAGGAGTGGCGTCAGATATTTTTCATTAAGCTAAAGGGTTTTGAAGACAGTAGACTGAATCACACCGTGATCAGCATTGTCAAGCTCTGAAGCAGAGACCCCATCAAAACTCGGCTTTAACAAATTTCATCTGTCAGTGTGGCATTGTCGCCCGCAGCAAGTTTGGGCTAGTATCACACTTAAGTGTAACACAAAAGGAATCATCCACTGCTGGCCCTCATTTTTCATTCACGATAGGAGAGTCCATATATATATATATATATATATATATATATATATATATATATATATATATATATATATATGAATGCATAATATTTCAAACTTTATTATAGTTGGCATACCCTATTTGAAATAGAGGCCCTATTTTATTTATTTATTTTTTTTATTGGCCTGCATATTCGATAAATATAAGTACAAATCCACACAGTGTTTAATAAACAAATAAAATGTGTTAAACTTGTAAATGCCTGAGTTCAGGGATTCAACGGGAAATAGGAAATAAAGTCACTTCAAGTTGTTTCTTTTCGTAATAGTCTTAATAATACTGTGCTGGATTCAAATACACAGGTCAAATTTGCTCCTGAAAAATTGAAGGATGAACTGAAAATCTACTTTTTAGAAAACTCACAAGTAAATAAGTATTTTTTGAGCAAGTAAACATGTAAGTGTTGGTATATTTTAAGAGCAGAGTGTACATACATAACTGCATAACTACAATGAATATATGTATATATTTTTACAAAATAAAATGTGGAAAAGACAAGAATGTCATTAAAGTTAGGCAAAATGACAATCTTCTAATTATTTTTCAGTGGTTTTAGCCATTTTTTGTTCCTTAACTTTTCTTTACATACTTTTCAATTTCTTCCGAATTTGCTGAGTTTTCTTGATGGTTTTTCCATTGTTTCAATTTTCCCGCAGTGAGTTAAATAGGAAATAGTCTGGATTTTCAATCATAAATGAAAACGTTTTGATATGCGAGAATGACCATGAAGGCAAGCATGAGTAAAATGGTTTCAACTTTTGAGCGTTAATAAATTTGTTTCTATTTGCGAGCATTAATAAAATTGTTTCGACCCATCACCATTAATGAAATATTTTCCAGTTACGAATATTAATAAAATCATTTCAACTTGCGAGCATTAAGAAATCGTTTTGACTTTTGAGCATTATTCAAATCCTTTCAACTTGAGAGCATTAGTAAAATCAGTTCGACTTGCGTGCATTAATAAAATAATTTTGATCATCAATTAACTATTAAAATTGAGTATAAACAGAAATATATTAAATAATCGTCGTAGTAATTAATTAATCCATTTCATTGTATATTGCTATTGTTTACGTTAAGATGTGTTTCATGAGCAGATATGATCGATCGAGAAAAATTGCCGGAGATTGTGTTTAAATACATTAATTTGTACTTTGCTAACCAGACACTTCTCTCTAGCCAAGTGGTATAGCACGTCAGATCAAATGACGTTTCCGTATAGAACACAGGTTTGTTCTATTCTTGTTGGAGAACAAATATTTTCTACGAAATCATTCGAATATTAAGACCAGTAAATATTATAAATAATGTTTAATTAAAAATAGAGCAGTTAATTAAATAAATTGTATCTATTGAAATAACGTATAAACAGAATATATATATATATATATATATATATATATATATATATATATATATATATATATATATTATAAAAATATATATATATATATATAGATTTGCTGAAAAATCAAATTTTTGATTTCTAATCAAATCAAAAAAAGGAAAAAAAAAAGAAAGAGCTACAAACATGAACTTCTGCCGACAAAAAAAATCGCACAGATGCAGGTCTGAAGCCCAAAGAAAAAACCCAATACGAGTAACAACTAACTAACAAAAGAGCTCAATACAACCGTAGAGCAGACCTAGATACACCTAGTGAGCCAGACAAACCTACCTAGGTTTCACCTAAACGGATCGTCAGGGAAAGTTTGGCCAAACTTTCCCTGACGATCCGTTTAGTGAAACCTAGGTAGGTTTGTCTGGTCTACTAGGGTGTATCTATCTATATATATATATATATATATCTATATATATATATATATATATATATATATATATATATATATATATATATATATATATATATATATATATATATATATATATATATATATATATATATATATATATATATATATATATATATATATATATATATAATGTAAATATGAGAAAACAAGAAAAATTAATTCCTTTAATATGAGGAAATAACCATTCTTTGGCTGAAGGTCACAAGAACCGAAAAACGTGTAGTAAAACAATATGGAAAATAAGATATAAAATATAATATTTAGAAATAATCCACATTATAACCATTATTGCGACTTAATTAAATATATAGACATGCGCGCACACACGATATTGAAGGCGAGGGTCATATATATCCTTTTGCGTTAATTTGAAATTAAAAATATGACGTCATATCTTCAAAATCTAAAGAGGTAATCACAGTATATGTGACGATAAACTGAAACAAAAATCAAATTAACATAAAACTTTAAAAACTGTTTAAAAAACAACGTAGAAAACAGAAACTTACCCCGATAGAAAATATCTTTACTCCTCCGAGAAAGAACAAAATGGTTGAAAGTAGTTGAAGCAACAATGCCGGAAAATACATCTATAATCTTTACACAAATAATTTCAAGAAAAGAAAAAGCTTTAACTAAAAACAAATACTTTCCGTAGTATTCAATGTGTAATGAAATGTTTGTCCCGTGAAAAACGAGGAAGAATGTAGTTAACGGACATTTTTTTTACTGATTTTACTTGTCTCAATTACTGCGCAGGAGAACTATTTACGCAAAAACGCTCAATTGTACGCTGTGTGTGCAATAATCAAGACAAATGACTATTATTCATAGATATTCAGCAGCAAATGTATGCAAACAACGCCAGCAATGGCGGCCACGACGTGAATGAATCCGAAATTTTACTGTCGATATCTCCAAAACAGTAGATTTTATCAAATTTATCAGGCCTGTTTCGAATGAGGCACGTACACGTGAATATAAGTATTTTTGAAATTTTTAATGCGAATTGAACGCGGATGCTAACCTGCAAAGTAACCAATATTTTGTGTGTGGTTTTATGAAATCATACCCCAACTATATAGACATGTCCAAGGGGCGGATTTAAAATCCACCGACCCTACTATATAAGTATATACAATAATTCTGCTTACATCATTTAGCTGATCGCAGTTTAATGTGCAAAATTATTTCTGCTAATTAAATTTGGACAACTGCAGACAGTGAAAAAAAATGGTAAATGATAAAATCGATGAAAGCGTTAAATTGATCTAAAAGAATGCAGAAAGACATACGGGGCGAATGTTGGGATAAGTCATTTAATTAAAATCATGAAAACGACTTTACTTCCATGAGACAATCAAATAGAAAGCCTAGAAAAGGAGGATAAAGAGATGAATCTTAAAGTCAGATTGATTTTTAAGAAAATCAAGTAAAATTAAAACTGTTTAAAACATCGTTGCTATTTGAGCATGCCAATAATTTAGTCTAATTCAAATATGAAAAATGAAAATCAGCAAATTTCTCGAGGTGTTTATTAATATTTGTTAATTTTGAATAATGAGGATAAAATTCGTGAATATTCACGAGAGACTGGAAGAATTAAACGTTCAAAGAAAAAATTAACTAATTCAAATCCGCGCCCGCTGTGGTGGGTGAGATTACTGAATGGTTTGGTGAAAATTAGGAGGGATTTATTACAAGTAGATCATTTTGCAATTATTCGAAGCCAATTGTGGCGTGACGAATCTATTTAAAATAATTAAATGTGCTCTTCATGCAGTTTTCATTAGAGTCATTTACGATAGATAATTGAGTAACAGGAGAAAAAGATGTGGGAGAGAGTAAGTCAATAATAGATCAAGGTGACTGATCAAACGGGAAATAAATCGACTATATAATTTATAATACGCTAGTGGAAATTCATGTTGGTTGCAAAAGGATTACTTATGATTTAAGCCATTGTCAACGAACTATTTAAATAAACCTCTTTGAATAGCAGCTGGTTGTGATCAACGAAGACAGGAGACTTAAGTCTTCAGAGAAAAAAAATGTCGACATAGAATGTAAAAGTAGCAAGAAAATAAGAAAGAACGAAAATAATAAAGGAAGAAAAGGAGATAAGGAAAAGAAAGAAATCAACAATGTACAGAATGTGAACTTGCGAAGTCAGAATGAAACATTACGAGAAAATAAAAAGAAGTAAAGAAAATATAAGAAAAAGCATAAAAATTCAAGGAAAATAGACAAAAAGGAAAATATACAAGCAAGAGACGTCGGAATGGCAAAACAAGACACGTTAGAAATGGCAAAATTAAAATCAACACACTCATTCATGGCATCGCTTAACTGAGAAAGATAAAAAAAAAAAAAAAACTTTTTGCAAAAAAAGATTGTTTCCGATTAGCTTTCAGTGATATGTTATGAAAACGGGGGAAAAAAAAGTAAAGTCGAAGATATAGTAATTAACTTTTAACAGGATGGGTATTACCTAAGCACCATATCAAGTTACGGAAGCAAAGTTGAGATGGAGGCCAAAAATAAAAAAGGAGAACTAACTACATTCAAATAAGAAGATTGAAGAATAATAAAAAAGAGAATCACTAAAAGTGAAAACTAATATGGCTGTCCGTGAGGAAAGTGATGAAATAAACTCGAAACTCTCGCAAGAAATGTTAATAAAGATGGGGTAAATCAGGGAAGGAACTGAACTAGCCAACAAAGATAAGCCAGACGATACTGGCTTTTGGAGGGTGTAAAATGGGAAACAGCAGAAAATATTTACAGTGAAAATGGATGGAAAATGAAGAAAGAAAAGAGAGCAGTGAATATGTGATTGTAAAAAAAAATAAGAATAAATAGATAACACTAAAAGAAATAAAATAAAGAAAAGCACCAAGAAATGAAAGAAGAATGTGAAAGGGGAAGAGAAAAATGAAATGAAAGCAAATATTTTCCCTAAAGAAAGAAAAGATATCTAAAGGAAGAAATGTTGTAGATATTAGAATGCAATAAAATGAAAAGGTAAGTAGAAAGACAGAAAACTGTCTAAATAAAATTTATTAATTAAGAAAAAATGAAAACATAATAAAAGTTAATAGAGAGGGATATGATTTGACAATGAAACTATGATATATCTATGCAACTCCCGCACCCTACAAAAACTGATACTAAGTCTTAAACCCATTTAAAAAAAATGAAACATTTTTCTTCTTTAATTTGATTTAATTTTATTTCCAATAATGCTTTTCGTACCGAAAAAAAAACGATTGGAATGGTTTTCTTTTTAATTAACAGTAAAACGTTCATAATTGACAAATAAAAAAATAAAGATCTCAAAAAATAAAACAAGCAGGAGGTCAACTCATTTAAAAAAAATGGTAAAATGATCGCGGAAATTTTTTTAACACTGAGGCGGGTGTTTTTATGAGGTGTCGATATATTTATCGACAACCTGGTCATTGATATTTATCTAATGATGAAATAATCCTAATAAAAATTACATGAAGAACAGAAGTTAAACATTTTTTATATGTTTTGTAATTAGCCAATAATCTTGAAAAAATAAAATATTGTATGTTTTCTAATATTTTATTGAATTGGAGATACTTTGAACTTATAACTTTACTTACGAAAACGCTTGTTAAAGAAATTTTCGAAAATTGCAAATATATATGAAATTTACTATAGTTAACGCTCTTAATTTGATAATCTTGTGTATGGACGTGCATAATTATAAAAAAAATATACAAGCAGGCACAAAAAAAAGAAAAACGAATCTTTTTTTAAAATACTGGGTTTCGCTGAATTGTAGTAAGCTTTTCAATCTATTAGTAAAGAGATTTTATTTAATGACGACATTACTTGACCGATGAAAATTCATATCGAATTATAAAAGATTTTTTGCAAATTATTCTAATTAAAATTTTAAAAAAGTGAAAACTATTCTTGCAATGAAATGCATTATTCATTGAATAATTTTTCTTACGATAAATGTTTCCATAATATATTTTATTCATAAAAGCTATTAAAAGCTTTTTCTGATTAAGTAATATCTTATTTTTATTGTTTTACAAAGACAATGTTAACTTAAATCCTCCTTGTATCTGTTCTTATAACTAATATAATCATTAAGCTCTAAAAAATGAATTTCTAGAAATTTTCCAAAATTACATAAGTGTGTGGGTAACAAATGTAAAAATTATATTTTCATTTTCTAAAAAGAAAACGTTTAAAAAATAATTTATTTGTGAATAAATCCTGAAAGTTTCATTAAAACTGGACCATTATCGGACTTTTGCGAGCATAAATATGTTTTTCATCACAAAGAGACACTAAATTTTCCCGTATTAATGTATTTCCACCGTTGACGCCAGAGAAACGAGATTTTAAATCATAATTTCGAAGGTTTTTAAAAAGGATTAAAAAAAAAATTACATCAAATATATTCGGTTTTTGCTCTTCATAATACCGCAAAAATTTTGATGATAAAACTGTTTTTATTAAGTTTGAGGGGATTTTCAATTATTTATGCTTATTATTAAGCGGATCCTTGAAAGTAACAATATATATCTAATAAAAATATGTTACGATAAAACCTAATAAAATATTTCCTTAAAAGAATGAAAAAACAAATTGAAGAAGTGAAATGATTAAAAAGTGAATGATTGAATGAATCTCAAAAAAAGGAAATAAAGTCGGAAATACCAAAGAAAGAAATACGAATTTTAAAAAATAAAAAGCAAGGAATAAATGGCTAATATCATCAAATATAGTTTCAGAAATATAGGAAATAAAACTAAAAGAATCAATGAAATATATTCTTGAAATGCTGTAACCTAAGGAAGGTTACTGAATAGAATAATAAAACGAGGTTTGGTAATGAACGATAATACTTAGGACAAGAACAACACATATAAGATTCGCCAGCGGCGCATAGAAGTCAACTACTAAAAATGAGTCAACTGAATTTCACAATTAATCTCCAACTGCAGGATATCTACCAACCACCCAACGTGGTCAGATGTGGCACAAGGCCGAATTTAATGTGGAGTATCCGAACCCGCAGGCTCTGGAAAAATTTCCTCGTAGACCCCGTATAAAACGGGGTCGGGTAGCTGTTTCCCGAGTCGAGACTCTGCCCTTCGACATAGCCACATCTGGAGGCAGAGAGTTTGTCCAGCACAGCTGGAGACAAATCTCCAACTGCAGACCAGCATACAATATTTAATACTGTATTTATGTGAACCCATTATTGTTCGTAGGTATGCTACATCAAGTAGTATAACAAACAGTAAAGTAGAAACATAATGGTGCAAATGCTAAAGAAATGAACGATATGAAAGAAATAGTATAACATATAAGTATAACAATATACAGAGACAGTATAATATATATACAGAAACAGTATAATATATAAGTATAACAATGCAGCGATCAACAGTATAACAATTAACGCACGGAAAAATTTAACAGACAAGCTAAACGACAAATAATGAAAGGAAACCAAATGCAAAAAGAACAAAAACAGAGAGAGATAGGTAAAGAATAACAGGAAGAAACGGCGATGCAATATAGAACCAAAAATAACAAGGAATAACTTTTTTTTATGCCGTGACCAGGAAGGTTGTAGGGCCACCATGAGTACTGCAGCCTCAGTAGAAGTGGTGTTTCTTGGACAAGATAGTCCAACGGAGACCAACCGCCTCCAGGCCGGTTTTGAATTCAGAGTTGTCCTTGCCCTAGGCCAGTTGCCATCCAAGGCTATAGAACCCAGACTATCCTGCTATTTACCCATAGCTGGAGGGAGGATTCATACCATTTCCAAGGGTATTAGGACGCAAGTGAATGTAATGTATCCGAATGGAATTCGAACTAGGCTCTCCGATTCTTCAACCCGAGTCGATAATCATTATTAAATGAACAACTAAATAATATTAAAACCCGTAACAATAATATAATGGTTTCAATTTGTGTGATATCTAACAGATTTGAATTTTCTATTTTTCAGGAAATTTACTTTGGATAATATCTTATGTTTATTTCATCCCAACAGCTTGTGTTGTCGCAAATGATAATGGGAATAAGAGGAAAAAAATAACTTTGGAGTTATCGTAAAAGTTGAAATTTTAAACAGTCTAGACGCTGGTGAAAGTTCATTGTAACTAATGGCTACGTTCAACATGGTATGATATAAAATCACCCAGAGAAACTATTCTCCAGCATTCATACTCTCACAAGGAACAAAAAAAAAAAAAATAAAAAACATGATTGTGATGAAACCTGGACAGAATTTGAAAAAGCTATTGAAAAGTTTGTCAGTTTTATGGAAAGAATGCAATCACATACGCAGCTATGACGAATGCAATCACGTACGCAGAGTTAGAAAGTGTCTACCATTTTAAAAATGTCAAGAACAAAAGCAAAACAAAATGCGGAAAAATAATGACATTAAAAGAGAAAGAATTATCATGCAACAGAGATTTAAAAAATCCTCGTTACATTATTTGTTTTTCGTACGTGACATAATTAATTTAATGAATTTTCATTAACATTAACTAATTTATATCTTTTTTCTTAAAGTCAAATCCGTTATATTTCACTCACTATTAGCTTATAAAACATTGATATTAAAGGTTAAACATGGTTTCAGTTCTTTTATTTTAATCTAAATATAACCCCTCATATTTTTAACCTATTCCTCATATCCAGAAGATCTTCTTAGTTCTATTGTCAGGGATTCTACTGTATATATTAAATTCGTTAGTAATTTTTCTTATATTGAAGTTCATCAAATACGAGACCCAAGATACACTCGCTGTAAAGTGTTAATCGACGACGTGTTTGATATAAATGTAAGAATTATTTGGAGGTGAATATTATTAAGATAACAACGGTAGATAGTGATTAACCCGTGAAAGGGATAGCTTTGGGGGGAAAAGCTAGGTGAGAGATTCTTCCTTACAAATGGAATACAATGGATATAAGGGTGAGTAGACACCACGGACGTAACATTGCCTATCCTAGCTATAAAGATTTAAAGTGGTAGGTCTAAGGAATCGGACACATATGCCATGGAAACAGAGACTTGTGAAAGACAGGTTTCCTTCCTGCATCAATGAAACAAAAGCCGTAGGTTGGAAAATAACGCATTCTTGAATAGAATCGTAAAAGCTTCCGAATTCTATGAAGGCTGGAAAGTGAGGAGTAAGAAACTCCAGCTCAGATATGACAGCAATATACAATATGTGTAACATAAATCCATTGACCTTTTTCCAGAGCCTAGTAATTGCCGATTGTATCCCCAGGAGAGGGATAAGAATCCTACTTCAGAAGGGACTACCTGTTGGTTTCGAACTCAAAGACATAAGAATAAAATATAACCGACCCTTAAAATTTATATATCCACAAACAAATTAAATCAGTTTCAATAACATATCCTTCAGGACTTAGAATTTTTACGCATTGGTATGCATCAAAACACGAGTGCAATTGTGTAGCGATTTTGACATGTTTATCAATTAAATATTCTAATATAAAGTATATATATATATATATGTATATATATATATATATATATATATATATATATATATATATAGATCATCAATATATATATTATCAATATATATAATATATATATATATACATATATATATACATACATACATATATATATACATACATATTTAAGCAAATGCTCTGTTTATGATAAACAGCATTAAATAACATTTACCGGCCTTTATCATAAACAGAGCATTTGCTTAAATACTTGTATCTATAAAATAACAACGTTAAACATAATAAAATGTCTTTAATAAATACATACATATATATATTTACATATATATATATATATATATGCATATATATATATAAATATATATATATATATATATATATATATATATATATATATATATATACATATATATATATATATATATATATATATATAT